AAAACAGTGATAGAACAGATGATGAAACTGACAAAATGGAGTGAATGGGTACACAGTGAATGACAGGTGTGTGTGAAGAACTCGACAAGAGATTCCAGGAGGTCTTCACAATAGAACAAGGGGAAGGCCCTGAACTAAGAGGGGTTGCGATAAACCGTGCAGACTTGGAAGATATCGAAATTACCAGAGATGAGGTTAGAAGGTATCTTCTTGATCTAGAAGTGACTAAGGCTGTTGGACCTGATGGAATCTTACCATGAATGCTAAAAGTGGAGGCAGACGCACTTCGTATGCCACCATCTATGGTGTATACCAAGTCACTGGAAACAGGCCTACCAGAGAGTTGGAAGACAGCTAATGAAGTCCCACTCTACAAAAAAGGGGGATAGGCAGGAGGCCCTGAACTACAGACCGGTGTCCTTAACCTGTATAACATGCAAGGTGATGGAGAAAATGGTGAGAAAAAGCCTGGTAGCCCATCTGGAGAGAAGGGACTTTGTAACACGTCACCAGCATGGAGTTCAGGGAAGGCAAGACGTGTCACACAGATTTAATGGAATTCTATGACCAAGCAACAAGCATTAAGCAAGAAAGAGAAGGCTGGGCAGACTGCATTTTCTTGGACTGTCAGAAAGCTTTTGACACAGTTCGCCATAAAAGACCTTACCTTGAGATGATTTCGGGGCTTAGCGTCCCCGTGGCCCGGTGTCAACAGACCTCCTCGTTGCTGGACTGGTCAACCAGGCTGTTGGACGCGGCTGCTCACAGCCTGACGTATGAATCACAGCCTGGTTGATTAGGTATCCTTTGGAGGTGCTTATCCAGTTCTCTCTTGAACACTGTGAGGGGTCGGCCAGTTATGCCCCATATGTGTAGTGGAAGCGTATTGAACAGTCTCGGGCCTCTGATGTTGATTGTTCTCTCAGAGTACTTATTGCACCTCTGCAATAGAGACTGTTGCATAAGTTTGAGAAACAAGCTGGTGTAAGTGGTAGGATGCTCCAATGGATAAGAGAGTACCTAAACAACAGGAAGCAGAGAGTTACTGTGAGGGGATGAGACACAAACACAAGCAATGAATACTTTTCATGTGCTCAGCATTGCCCTGTCCAACCACTTAAGCTAGACGGTAGAGCGACAGTCTTGCTTCATGCAGGTCGGCGTTCAATCCCGGACCGTCCAAATGGTTGGGCACCCTTCCTTCGCCCCGTCCCATCCCAAATCCTTATCCTTGATCCCCTTCCAAGTGTTATATAGTCGTAATGGCTTAGCGCTTTCCTCTGAAAATTCCTTCCCTCAGTATTGCCTTCTCTCAGATTTATGACACAGAAAAATAACCTTAGGATATTACCCAAAACTACATTAGGCTCGGCCATTATTTTTCCCCGGAGCTGTGACATTGTAAAATATACGTGGAGGATATTGAGAGAACCGGAGACTTCGTGGGTGTTTCTTGCAGGGGGATTAGGAGTATGGATTGGAGGTCAAAAGGGGGGTCAGGGGTCGTGATGTGGGTCAGGGGTCGTGATGTGGGTTAGTGGTCGTTGGCGGAGAAGGTCTTGTGGGATTATGATCTGAGGGTTATGGAAGGTCAAGGGTCGGGGCAGCTCAATGGTTAGGAGGTCAGGAAGGTCAAGGGTCGGGGCAGCTCAATGTTTTAAGGGTTAGGAAGGTCAAGGGTCATAGGCCTCTGGAGGTCAAGAGTCGTGAGCGATTAGAAGTTATGGTAGGCCATGAGTGATAATGGTTATAGGTGGTTAGACAACAAGTGTGTTTGGGCATGAGTGTGCCAGTAGCAGCACGTCATTGGTCGTGTGCCGAGCCTCAAGTCACGCTGGTTGAATGTTTTGGCGCATATTGCAGTTTTAAACAACCCGTCCTCAGGCTGTGCACGTCCATCCAGCGGCCGACCCCAGACACATTGATTAATTTTACCGTACTGTATATTATCAATGTGAATATTCATTCTATAAATTACTATTATTATACACATTTGAATTACTATTATTTTGTTTAGCATGATTAGGCATAAGATAGATTAGGTGTTGAGATACTGTTGGCAATTATTTCTACTTGCTGTACATAGGCATTCCGTCTAAAAGCAGTTCATTCTAAAGAATAATTTTATTAAATATAAATTCATATCATTATATATTAGCATATTGTGCATATTTGGGCGTATGTTAGGAGTTGAGGTTCTGTTGCCAATTATTTGTCAGCGATGCATTGTTCGAGAAATGTTGGAAAGTCATCAGTTCTTAATCGTGGGTAAAGCGTTGGTCGGTCACAAACAAGGGGTCTGGGAACGGAATTAACTAACATTTGGCCTTTGTGTAAGGGGGCGGGGCTAGTTGTAACAACCCCTCCTCATCAACACTCCCCAAATGCTCATTAATCATGCCACCAAATTACCTGTTAATGAATAAAAAGACTTCACACGACTTGCTACTACTCAAACACATCTCAAATAGTCCTTCGCTGACGACCTCTGTTCGAACCACAACGCTGTAAATGCCTCACCCTCGTACATCACTCACAAATAACCGCCAACAGAACCTTAACGCCTAACCTAACCAAACCTAACCTAACCTTAACGCCTAACCTAACCAAACTTACGCCCAACTATACGTAGAATTTTGACGTATAATAATAATTTTTGTACGAGAATAAACTTATTTTTAATAAACAATGTTACAATTGACGAATGCGTTTTACGGTACGGCCACCTCTTTAGCGAGCCTGGCATGAGAACAGGTTGTGCAAATACCAATAATTGTCAATAGAATGCACAAAGAAATCACATTAACGTGATGTATCAATGAGAAAATTAGGAGGAGCCGTAATGAGGACTCGAACCTATATTCTTGGTACTCATTCCCAAGTTCTAATGCCTTAGACCACTGCACCACGACATGGTAAAACAGAACGCAACCTGGGATTCAACTGAATCGTCTAGGGTTCCTGAGGCTTACACAGCTCTTACTGTGTCGTTTGGGTGGGTGTAAATAGGAGCTGCTTAGTATGGACAAATAGGCCTAATGCAGTTTCCTTTATTCTTATGTTCCTAAAAATATCTTTGGCACCTTTGAGCGTTGTGTTGCCTCCACATTGTAGCTCCCTCGGCCAGGAGGCGGTTACCTTACCTTGCGCTTACCTTGCCCAGCCCCGCTCCTGTGCCAGGTAAGTCCGCTACGGGCTCACCATAGCCCGTGCTACTTGGAACTCGTTCCGAGTAGCTGAATCTATAACAACAACAAACAACGTCCGCGCGGCCCGGTCCTCGACCAGGCCTCCTCGTTATTAGACTGGTCAACCAGGCTGTTGGCGTGTCAAGAATATATCCAGAGAGCAACACCACCAGTAAGCTGGTGGGCCTCGTTGCCTATTTAAAGGCAGTGTTCACAGATCAGAGCACAGCACCGCTCCTGTGCCAGGTAAGTCCACTATGGGCTCACCATAGCCCGTGCTACTTGGAACTTGTTCCGAGTTGCTGAATCTATAACAACAAGATCAGAGCAAACAATAGTGTGATCAATCTTGAGATTATCTTGAGATGATTTCGGGGCTTAGCGTCCCCGCGGCCCGGTCCTCGTCCAGGCCTCCTTTTAGTTACACACCCGGAGGAGGCAGCCCGTAGCAGCTGTCTGACTCCCAGGTACCTATTTACTGCTAAGTGAACAGATGCATCAGGGTGAAAGAAACTGCCCGTTTGTTTCCGCCTCCACCGGGAATCGAACCCGGAACCTCAGGACTACGAATCCGAAGCGCTGTCCACTCAGCTGTCAGGCCCCCGTGATACTCGCATTTCTCGTTGATAACGCGTCATGGTAATGGGTAATGGCGTCATGTTATGGGGGACTTTGGTGTACTAGGCCATCAGGTTAATGGGATGGATGACTGTATTGCACTAAGCCATCAAGTTAATGGGATGGATGACTATTGCACTAAGCCATCAGGTTAATGGGATGGATGACTGTATTGCACTAAGCCATCAAGTTAATGGGATGGATGACTATTGCACTAAGCCATCAAGTTAATGGGATGGATGACTGTATTGCACTAAGCCATCAAGTTAATGGGATGGATGACTGTATTGCACTAAGCCATCAAGTTAATGGGATGGATGACTGTATTGCACTAAGCCATCAAGTTAATGGGATGGATGACTGTATTGCACTAAGCCATCAAGTTAATGGGATGGATGACTGTATTGCACTAAGCCATCAAGTTAATGGGATGGATGACTGTATTGCACTAAGCCATCAAGTTAATGGGATGGATGACTATTGCACTAAGCCATCAGGTTAATGGGATGGATGACTGTATTGCACTAAGCCATCAAGTTAATGGGATGGATGACTATTGCACTAAGCCATCAAGTTAATGGGATGGATGACTGTATTGCACTAAGCCATCAAGTTAATGGGATGGATGACTGTATTGCACTAAGCCATCAAGTTAATGGGATGGATGACTGTATTGCACTAAGTCATCAAGTTAATGGGATGGATGACTGTATTGCACTAAGCCATCAGGTTAATGGGATGGATGACTGTATTGCACTAAGCCATCAAGTTAATGGGATGGATGACTGTATTGCACTAAGCCATCAAGTTAATGGGATGGATGACTGTATTGCACTAAGCCATCAAGTTAATGGGATGGATGACTATTGCACTAAGCCATCAAGTTAATGGGATGGATGACTGTATTGCACTAAGCCATCAAGTTAATGGGATGGATGACTGTATTGCACTAAGCACTAAGTCATCAAGATGGATGGGTAACATTGCTTGACACCATTTTGCCTTCAGTATTGTGTAAGGACTATGAGCAGCCTCTCAGCTGGCGAGTCACAATCTATCTGTATTGGGCATTAAAGTAACACTTGGCCCAAATGGCACATGTGCCATAATTGGGGCTCCGTGGGCAGCCATTTTGGATTATTGTGAGGCAATATACAACTGTGAGGGCCGGGGTAGGGTAGTTATAGTGACTAAATGCTCCAGCTGGACATTACTGCTTGGAGGGCCATCACTTTAAGTGCATCTGGTATCTCCCCCGTGTCCAAGCCTCTGGATAAGTCTGGTAAGTGCATCTGGTATCTGTGCATCTGATAAGTGCATCTGATAAGTCTGGTAAATGCATCTGGTATCTCCCCCGTGTCCAAGCTCTTCCTCCACACTGTACTGAGTGCCTGTGCTTCCAGCACTTTGCATTTCTTTATAAATATTGAATTCCATGAGTCTGGACCCGGGGCTGAGTGCATGGGCATGTTTTAAATTTCTCTTTCAAAATCTGTTAGGCTCATGTTGATATCAGTTATATCAAGGGGTTTGGATACCATGCTTAAAGAAGTTGTCCGGATCTTCCACTTTCACGCTGTTTATTGGAGTGCTAAACATGGCCTCATACGTTTTTTTTTAGGATTTCACTAATTTCTTTGTCATCCTCCGTGTATGAACCTTCACTGGTACGAATAGGTCCAATACTGGTAGTGGTATTTGCTTTTGATTTCGCATATGTGAAGAAATATTTTTGTTTATTTCCTGAATTGCTTTCTGTTCTAGTTGCCTTTCTTCAATCTAATGTGTTTCAATTTCTGCTCGATTTAGTCTGCTGCCCCCTCTCTTAGTACAGGGGTGTGTGTGTGTGTGTGTGTGTGTGTGTGTGTGTGTGTGTGTGTGTGTGTGTGTGTGTGTGTGTGTGTGTGTGTGTGTGTGTGAGACCGACCAGCACTCAAACATGATTGATGTGTAGTGTGTCTTGGTGTGTGTAACGTAACAAAGGAAGGATATATTATTGTAATGTATACCTCAGTAAACACGAAGTATTCCTAAGAATATTGGAGTTTGTAAACAGAGCCTGGGATGGCTTGAATGTACACAGACTTGTTTGAACTAAACGGCAAGAAGAAACACATGCCTGCATAAATCATGCAGAGGCACGTGATGTGCAATAGTGTTATCCAAAAATGTGAGGCACTAGCCAAGCATATATATACCTATTAATGAGCGCTGAGTGTGTGTTTACCTTGGGTAGAAATAAATCTTAATACTGACTTTTCTCTTTCTAGGTAAGCGATGGTCTCCTCCACATCCTGGCTGAAGGTATGTTGAGGTGCTCAGTCTCTCTCACCTCACTATCACTAAACACTATTTACCTAATAGTGACTGTGGGTAAGCGGGGTCTAGCTCTTATACCCCGCTTACTATCCCTGTTGCGATATACAACTCTCCTGACGTTCAATTTTTGTTTGTCGAATCCCTCCTTAAAGTTTTTTTTTATTATTTTCTACCACAAACGTGGCCACACATTTACAATGCTAACCAGCATATATATATTTTCTTCTGTCCTTGTGGACGGAGGTGGCTTCCAGGGCTGCTTCTTTAAGTGTATTTCATGTGTTGTCCAGCCGTGCATGGTACAGGTATTTCCTTGTAGTCCTTCGACTCCCTTGTGTTCCTCAGTGTTCAGGTAGGATAGTGGAAGTGGTTGGTGGACGGGAATATAAGGGCTTTGGATGGGTTGGGTTATGTTAACCCAACCTATCCAAATACATAGTGTTCCCTGCGGTCCATGTGTTCCCTAAGGTTTGTGTGTTCCCTGCGGTCCATGTGCTCCCTGCGGTCCATGTGTCCTCAGTGGTCCGTGTGTTCCCTGTGGTCCGTGTGGTCCGTGTGTTCCCTGTGGTCCGTGTGTCCTCAGTGGTCCATGTGTCTTCAGTGGTCCGTGTGTTCCCTGTGGTCCGTGTGTTCTCAGTGGTCCGTGTGTTCCCTGTGGTCCATGTGTCCTCAGTGGTCCATGTGTCCTCAGTGGTCCATGTGTCCTCAGTGGTCCATGTGTCCTCAGTGGTCCGTGTGTTCCCTGTGGTCCGTGTGTTCTCAGTGGTCCGTGTGTTCTCAGTGGTCCGTGTGTTCTCAGTGGTCCGTGTGTTCTCAGTGGTCCGTGTGTTCTCAGTGGTCCGTGTGTTCTCAGTGGTCCGTGTGTTCTCAGTGGTCCGTGTGTTCCCTGTGGTCCATGTGTCCTCAGTGGTCCATGTGTCCTCAGTGGTCCATGTGTCCTCAGTGGTCCGTGTGTTCTCAGTGGTCCGTGTGTTCTCAGTGGTCCGTGTGTTCTCAGTGGTCCGTGTGTTCTCAGTGGTCCGTGTGTTCCCTGTGGTCCGTGTGTTCTCAGTGGTCTGCGTGTTCTCAGTGGTCCGTGTGTTCTCAGTGGTCCGTGTGTTCTCAGTGGTCCGTGTGTTCCCTGTGGTCCGTGTGAAACCTTTCTCCTGTGTACATACCATGGAGAAGCGAGTCATTGACTTTTAACTACAGAAATTTTGACGCATTCGACTACAGCGTAAATATTTCGGTGCTTAGGTGAAAATATCACAGCAAAATTGAGGCTTCCATGGACTGAACAGCATCAAGCCTGGAGAGGTTAGGTGGGTAGCTTGGGTTCGTAGGCTTCTAGCTATGTAAACCCTCATCAACCTCAACGCCTGTCAACCCGTGAGAAGGAACTGGGTCGCGTGCAGCTCCCGACCTTGGCGTTGGGGCCGTTCACACGCAAGGATCGTAAGTTTGGGCGCGGGGCGGGTTAGGTTACGGCTGCCTGAGCCTTGAGCGTGGTGGTCTTCCGTAGCTCATGCCCTCATGGCTGGGTAGGTCGTGTGTGGGAAGGGTGGGTGGGGGTTGTGGGGGGGGGGGAGTGTGGGGATAGGGTGTATGATTGACAGGTGGATAGTAGCGAAAGTGATGTTTGTGCTTTTGTGTTTGTACTCGGCTAGTTGTACTCGCCTAGTTGTACTCGCCTAGTTGTGCTTGCGGGGGTTGAGCTTTAGCACTTTGGTCAGGTCTGTAAACTGTCAATCTGTTGGTGTTCAGATTCCTGTGCCTATTGGGTTCTATCATATCAACATATTTTCTGCTGCTATTTCTCATCCTGATCTCGGATATAGACAAAAATATTAGTCACAGCTTCGTGTCATCCTTTGCAGATGATACAAAAATCAGCATGAAAATTTCCTCTGTAGAAGACAGTGAAGACTGCAAGCAAATATTAACAATGTCTTCGATTGGGCAACAGAAAATAACATGATGTTTAACGGTGGTAAATTCCAGGTACTGAGGTATGGTGTACCTCAGTTAAGGAAGTTAAACGAAACACAGGGTACAGGACACAGGCACGCTCATGGAAGGAAAGCAACATGTAAAATATCTGGGAATTACGATGTCTGACGACCTGACATTTAGCTAACATAACCGAGCAAATATAGCGGCGGCCAGGAAAATGATAGGATGGATTATGAGTGTTCAAATCCAGAGACCCCACAGCATTGTTAATACTATTTAAATTACTGGTGCTGTCCCGTCTTGAGTATTGCTCGGTATTCACCTTCTCTTTCAGAGCAGGAGAGATTTCTGAATTAGAGGGAATACAGAGAACATATACGGCACGCAAAGACACGATAAAACATGTGAATTATTGTGACCGTCTCAAAGCTCTCAAAATGTACTCCCTGGAAAGGAGATGAAAAAGGCGGCAAATAATATATATACATAGAAGATACTTGAAGCCCAGGTCCCAAATTTGCACAGAAGATAACAACCTACTAGAGCGAAAAGTACGGAAGGATAGGCGGAATAGAACCAGTGAGGAGTAGAGGTGACATAGGCACAATTAGAGAACACTGAACATCAGGGGTCCACAGCTGTTCAACACCCTCCCAGCAAGCATTAGAAAAACTGCCGGAACAAATTTGGATGTATTCAAGAAGCACTTGCATAAGTTCTTACAAGAAGTGCCGGACCAACTGGGCTGTGGTGGATATGTGGGCTTGTAGGCCACTCCAAGCAATAGCCTGTTGGACCAAGTTATCGCAAGGCGCCAGGCCGGGCTCGGGGAGTAGAAAAACTCCCAGAACCCTCTCTTAAGTACATTCCTCAGGTTACACTGCTATAAACCGTTGAATAGTAATGGTACTAGCTCACTGATCAACTAGCATGCATACGTTTGTCCAAGACATTGTGCAAGACGAGAGGAGGAGAGGAGAAGAAGACTAAAGAAAACTCTTGTATATACCAACCTTCCCTCAGTTAATGCACAGTAATTAAGGAACTTTCAACTAATATTTTAACATTCCGGAGCTTTAGTCAACTTAAAGGCAACTTTGACGCTTTATCAGACTAACGACCATCGACCTCGATAGGTTAGGTGGGTTGCCTAGGTTGGTACTCTTCTGGTAAGGCTAAACCACTGCAAATCTCACCCTTATTTACAGCGTGAGAAAGGACTCTGGATATACCCTGAGAAATGAGGTATACTGTGTGTATATATCCCCTCTTTCAGACAACTGTATTATTTTCATAAATAAAAATATACAAACAATTCATGAGAGGAAAATTAGTGTCGATTAGAATATTAGTTCAGCTTACTTCAGTGAAGTTAATAATCAGCGAGTTTGTAATTAAATCACTTAAAAAGCGGAATGGTTGTGTTAAGTGCCTTGTATAATGACTGGTTTGACTTGTATAATGGTGGCTTGTATAATGACTATGGTGTCCGGTCAAAACACCAGTTTTGTCCTGAAGGTCAGCTGTTGTCCCGTGATCCTGCACCTTCCTGCTGGTGTACCGGCCTGGTGGTGTACCCTCCTGGAGGTGGTGTACCGGCCTGGAGGTGGTGTACCCTCCTGGTGGTGGTGTACCCTCCTGGTGGTGGTGTACCCTCCTGGTGGTGGTGTACCCTCCTGGAGGTGGTGTACCCTCCTGGTGGTGGTGTACCCTCCTGGTGGTGGTGTACCCTCCTGGAGGTGGTGTACCCTCCTGGTGGTGGTGTACCCTCCTGGAGGTGGTGTACCCTCCTGGTGGTGGTGTACCCTCCTGGTGGTGGTGTACCCTCCTGGTGGTGGTGTACCCTCCTGGAGGTGGTGTACCCTCCTGGAGGTGGTGTACCCTCCTGGAGGTGGTGTACCCTCCTGGAGGTGGTGTACCCTCCTGGTGGTAGTGTACCGGCCTGGAGGTGGTGTACCCTCCTGGTGGTGGTGTACCCTCCTGGAGGTGGTGTACCCTCCTGGAGGTGGTGTACCCTCCTGGAGGTGATGTACCCTCCTGGAGGTGATGTACCCTCCTGGTGGTAGTGTACCGGCCTGGAGGTGGTGTACCCTCCTGGTGGTGGTGTACCCTCCTGGTGGTGGTGTACCGGCCTGGAGGTGGTGTACCCTCCTGGAGGTGGTGTACCCTCCTGGTGGTGGTGTACCCTCCTGGTGGTGGTGTACCCTCCTGGTGGTGGTGTACCCTCCTGGAGGTGGTGTACCCTCCTGGAGGTGGTGTACCCTCCTGGTGGTGGTGTACCCTCCTGGTGGTGTACCCTCCTGGTGGTGGTGTACCCTCCTGGTGGTGGTGTACCGGCCTGGAGGTGGTGTAGCCTCCTGGTGGTGGTGTACCCTCCTGGTGGTGGTGTACCCTCCTGGTGGTGGTGTACCCTCCTGGTGGTGGTGTACCCTCCTGGTGGTGGTGTACCCTCCTGGTGGTGGTGTACCCTCCTGGTGGTGGTGTACCCTCCTGGTGGTGGTGTACCGGCCTGGAGGTGGTGTACCCTCCTGGAGGTGGTGTACCCTCCTGGAGGTGGTGTACCCTCCTGGTGGTGGTGTACCCTCCTGGAGGTGGTGTACCCTCCTGGAGGTGGTGTACCGGCCTGGAGGTGGTGTACCCTCCTGGTGGTGGTGTACCCTCCTGGAGGTGGTGTACCCTCCTGGTGGTGGTGTACCCTCCTGGAGGTGGTGTACCCTCCTGGAGGTGGTGTACCGGCCTGGAGGTGGTGTACCCTCCTGGAGGTAGTGTACCCTCCTGGAGGTAGTGTACCCTCCTGGAGGTAGTGTACCCTCCTGGTGGTGGTGTACCCTCCTGGAGGTGATGTACCCTCCTGGTGGTAGTGTACCGGCCTGGAGGTGGTGTACCCTCCTGGTGGTGGTGTACCCTCCTGGTGGTGGTGTACCCTCCTGGTGGTGGTGTACCCTCCTGGAGGTGGTGTACCCTCCTGGTGGTGGTGTACCCTCCTGGTGGTGGTGTACCCTCCTGGAGGTGGTGTACCCTCCTGGTGGTGGTGTACCCTCCTGGTGGTGGTGTACCGGCCTGGAGGTGGTGTACCCTCCTGGAGGTGGTGTACCCTCCTGGTGGTGGTGTACCCTCCTGGTGGTGGTGTACCCTCCTGGTGGTGGTGTACCCTCCTGGAGGTGGTGTACCCTCCTGGAGGTGGTGTACCCTCCTGGTGGTGGTGTACCCTCCTGGTGGTGGTGTACCCTCCTGGTGGTGGTGTACCGGCCTGGAGGTGGTGTACCCTCCTGGTGGTGGTGTACCCTCCTGGTGGTGGTGTACCCTCCTGGTGGTGGTGTACCCTCCTGGTGGTGGTGTACCCTCCTGGTGGTGGTGTACCCTCCTGGTGGTGGTGTACCCTCCTGGTGGTGGTGTACCCTCCTGGTGGTGGTGTACCCTCCTGGTGGTGGTGTACCGGCCTGGAGGTGGTGTACCCTCCTGGAGGTGGTGTACCCTCCTGGAGGTGGTGTACCCTCCTGGTGGTGGTGTACCCTCCTGGAGGTGGTGTACCCTCCTGGAGGTGGTGTACCGGCCTGGAGGTGGTGTACCCTCCTGGTGGTGGTGTACCCTCCTGGAGGTGGTGTACCCTCCTGGTGGTGGTGTACCCTCCTGGAGGTGGTGTACCCTCCTGGAGGTGGTGTACCGGCCTGGAGGTGGTGTACCCTCCTGGAGGTAGTGTACCCTCCTGGAGGTAGTGTACCCTCCTGGAGGTAGTGTACCCTCCTGGTGGTGGTGTACCCTCCTGGTGGTAGTGTACTGGAGGTGGTGTACCCTCCTGGTGGTGGTGTATCCTCCTGGTGGTGGTGTACCCTCCTGGTGGTGGTGTACCCTCCTGGTGGTGGTGTACCCTCCTGGTGGTGGTGTACCCTCCTGGTGGTGGTGTACCCTCCTGGAGGTGGTGTACCCTCCTGGTGGTGGTGTACCCTCCTGGTGGTGGTGTACCCTCCTGGTGGTGGTGTACCCTCCTGGTGGTGGTGTACCCTCCTGGTGGTGGTGTACCCTCCTGGTGGTGGTGTACCCTCCTGGTGGTGGTGTACCCTCCTGGTGGTGGTGTACCCTCCTGGTGGTGGTGTACCGGCCTGGAGGTGATGTACCCTCCTGGAGGTGGTGTACCCTCCTGGTGGTGGTGCACCCTCCTGGTGGTGGTGTACCCTCCTGGTGGTGGTGTACCCTCCTGGTGGTGGTGTACCGGCCTGGAGGTGATGTACCCTCCTGGTGGTGGTGTACCCTCCTGGAGGTGGTGTACCGGCCTGGAGGTGATGTACCCTCCTGGTGGTGGTGTACCCTCCTGGAGGTGGTGTACCCTCCTGGAGGTGGTGTACCCTCCTGGAGGTGGTGTACCCTCCTGGTGGTGGTGTACCCTCCTGGAGGTGGTGTACCCTCCTGGAGGTGGTGTACCCTCTTGGAGGTGGTGTACCCTCCTGGTGGGTGCCTGGTAAAGGTGAAGCTAATATGTATATATAATTTAGGAATAATTCATAGGATGAGCAGGAACCAAGTTCCAGCATGTCATTATAAACAGCCATTACCCGTTACGGTATAAAGTATCCTTAGTGCTCATTATATTTTCTAAATACACATTGTGCAGAAGTAATGTGTGTCCAGAGTTGGAGGTTAAACGCTTGAGACTAGCCTTACCCAGCTTTTCAGGATGACGCACGAATGGTAGGAGACTCCCATAGGTTGATCGGGGAGACTGATGTGGGCACCGCAGGGTAACCTATTTAGTTACAAATTATTCTGGCATGTGTTGGTAGGTCAGGCGTTCATGTAGGTGGAACAGTCTGGTAGGTCAGCACTCCATGAAGGAATACAACCCATGCACAACAAAATGTATACTTTTCTATAATACAAAATGCGTTGACCAGCCTACTGGGAGAATTATCATGTCACCTAATGCATTTTTTTTTTACGAAGTAGACTAATTAATACATATATTCTTTGGTGGATATTGGCAGTATACTTTTATTTACACATGTTTCATTGAATATGGCTGCATATTCCGTGTTGATTATTTTCTTGTCTAAGGCTTCTATGCCTCTTGCATCTTGATTTAATTGGAAGAGGATCTTTCCGAATGTCATCTTTGTTCAAGGTTGACTAACAGAACAAAAACTAACTGTACAATGTATTATACTTGTACATGTAAACCTGCTGGGCCTGGGCTAACCTCATCCAACTTTACAGGGTGAATGGTCTAGGACTCTAGGGTATGGGACGGACATAGGCTGGATGGGGAGGGGGTCGGGCCTTTCAGTTCTATTAAATTGGGTCCGAGTAATGATACTCCCCATATAATAGCCACCAGGTGGAAGGTGGCTGGCTGAGTCCCTACATCTCTTCACAGTGAATGTGAATTCAGTACAGTATTACATTTTCTGAGTCGGAGAAGGCGAGAAATAGAGGGGGGGTGGATAGAGGTGAGAAGGGCAATATAGAGGAGGAGAGAGGTGATTGTATGGGAGAGGAAAGGAGAGAGAGAGAGAGCGAGCGAGACAAGTGGAAAGGGGGGAGAGAGGCAAAATGGGAAGAGGGAGATGGTGGAGAGAGTGGGGGAGGGGAAAGAAAGGTGGAGAAAAGGTGATCAGGAAAGGATAGGATAGAAAATTGGAATAACAGGAGAGGGGAGGATTTTTGGGGGAGAATGTTGGAGATGAGAATCGAAGTATAGTAATCCTAGAGCATGGGATTACTCTTGGCGATTTACATATTGAGTAATGTACCTTTGTGCATGGAAGTACGTGTGAATATTTACACCAAAGTTATTTGCTTATTAAAATAGATTTATTAGTTTTAGTTGTGGTAGAGAAGGGGCCATCAGACACGATGCATTTATCACATAATTTATCTACAAACTTTTATTATTATTTTCTCAAAATAGCGGCCGGGTAGTTGGATAATTTACTTATAAGGAGTTTACTGAAACATGATAATTTGTTATTTCAATAAAAAAAAACAAGAAAGCAGCATTTAGATTGTTTTGGTTTAAATTCGAACAGGAAGTTAGTTAACAGTTAGATCACCATTATTTGTAAATAAAGTAGCAGACTGGTTTACAAGTAGACCAGCAGACTGGTTTACAAGTAGACAAGCAGACTGGTTTACAAGTAGACCAGCAGACTGGTTTACAAGTAGAACAGCAGACTGGTTTACAAGTAGACCAGCAGACTGGTTTACAAGTAGACCAGCAGACTGGTTTACAAGTAGACCAGCAGACTGGTTTACAAGTAGACCAGCAGACTGGTTTACAAGTAGAACAGCAGACTAGTTTACAAGTAGACCAGCAGACTGGTTTACAAGTAGACCAGCAGACTGGTTTACAAGTAGACAAGCAGACTGGTTTACAAGTAGACCAGCAGACTGGTTTACAAGTAGAACAGCAGACTGGTTTACAAGTAGACCAGCAGACTGGTTTACAAGTAGACCAGCAGACTGGTTTACAAGTAGACCAGCAGACTGGTTTACAAGTAGAACACCAGGCTGGTTTACAAGTAGAACAGCAGACTAGTTTACAAGTAGAACAGCAGACTGGTTTACAAGTAGACCAGCAGATTGGTTTACAAGTAGAACAGCAGATTGGTTTACCAGTAGAACAGCAGACTGGTTTACCAGTAGAACAGCAGACTGGTTTACCAGTAGAACAGCAGACAGGTTTACCAGTAGAACAGCAGACTGGTTTACAAGTAGAACAGCAGACTGGTTTACAATTAGAGCAGTCGGTTGGTTAGAAATTGTTCAATACGTTTACAATTTACAAGTGGACAATAAGACAAGCCTGACCTCCCCGGGCTCGAGTTTTGGGTTAGCTGGTAGACTCCCAGAAGATACTCGAGGTAAACTCCAGGTACATAAGAAAAGGTAGGTTTACAGCAGGTAGCTGGATAAAGTGCTCCAACGGCAGAGTTCCGCCCAACAAGTGAGGAGGTGAACTTGCCCGGAGAGGAAGGTGGCTGACAAGCGTTCTGCCCCAAGCAACTTCACGCTCACACAATCACTAAGTTGTGCACCTCCAGGAACTTTGTGGCCTTTCTCGACACAGCCAGCCTGCCTGTCTGCCTGTCTGTCTGCTAGCCAGACAGCCAGCCAGCCAACCAGCCAGCCAACCAGGCAGCCAGCCAGCCAACCAACCAGACAGCCAACTAGGCAGCCAGCCAGCCAACCAACCAGACAGCCAACTAGGCAGCCAGCCAGGCAGCCAGCCAGCCAGCCAGCCAGCCAGCCAGCCAGCCAGCCAGCCAGCCAGCCAGCCAGCCAGCCAGCCAGCCAGCCAACCAACCAATCAGCCAATCAGCCAGCCAGCCAACCAGCCAACCAGCCAGCCAGCCAACCAACCGATCAGCCAGCCAGCCAGCCAGCCAGCCAGCCAGCCAGCTACCCGGCTCTAGCTAACATCAGCCAGAAAACACAGCCGGTCAGCAGAACAGACAACCAGCCTACAAACTATCCAGCAAATCAACCAGTCAACTTACAAGCTTCGAGACGCCCCAAGTCGTGGTTATTATTGTTGTAAACAGCCTTCGCAGCTCATACACTCGAATACCTGTAAACAACGATCATTAAGCTAAGATGTACAGGTTTCGTAAGTGGTTGTGAGTAAATGGTTGACGAGTCCTGGCCCATGGGAGACACCATTCATTAACGTCTCATTGTGAACAATATGAGGCATCATATTCTCGCATTGTGAATAATATATAATGAGTTCGCAGGTGATGACACCTGTTTAATTTCTCCCCCTCCCCCTCTCTCGCTCTCCCTGCCCCCCCCTCTCTCGCTCTCCCTCCCCCTCTCTCTCTCTCGCTCTCTCTCCCCCCCTCTCTCTCGCTCTCCCTCCCCCCTCTCTCTCGCTCTCCCTCCCCCTCTCTCTCGCTCTCCCTTCCCCCTCTCTCTCCCTCCCCCCCCCCCTCTCTCTCTCTCCCTCCCCCCTCTCTCTCGCTCTCCCTCCCCCCTCTCTCTCGCTCTCCCTCCCCCCTCTCTCTCGCTCTCCCTCCCCCCTCTCTCTCGCTCTCCCTCCCCCTCTCTCTCGCTCTCCCTCCCCCCCTCTCTCGCTCTCCCTCCCCCCCTCTCTCGCTCTCCCTCCCCCCTCTCTCGCTCTCCCTCCCCCCCTCTCTCGCTCTCCCTCCCCCCCTCTCTCGCTCTCCCTCCCCCCTCTCTCGCTCTCCCTACCCCCTCACCTCCCTCCCCCCTCTCTCTCCCTCCCCCTCTCTCTCCCTCCCCCCTTCTCTCTCCCTCCCCCCTTCTCTCTCCCTCCCCCCTCTCTCTCCCTCCCCCCCCCCTCTCTCGCTCTCCCTTCCCCCCCCTCTCTCGCTCACCCTCCCCCCTCTCTCTCGCTCTCCCTCCCCTCCCTCTCTCTCGCCCTCCCTCCCTCCCCCCCCCTCAGTACAATGAAGGGGACGTTTAATTAATCTCCCTCACTGGCATTCTCCGCTCAACTGTGTCTGGCGTCCCTCCGCCAGACTAAACCTTACGTTCCTCACCCTGGCTTAATCTGACGCTCCCCCCCCCCCCCCACCAGTAAGCCTGGCGTCCTCCCCCCCCCCACCAGTAAGCCTGGCGTCCTCCCCCCCCCACCCCCCCACCAGTAAGCCTGGCGTTCTCCAGTCCAACTAATGCAGGAACAGCGTTCATTTTAAGTATTCTTCTCTCTGCCTGAGCGACAATTAAAAAACCCAGCGAAGATATTCGTTCTCGGCTCCGTTTGAGTCTGACAACGGCTTGTAATTTCCCAGGATCCTCGTAATTATATAAAAAAAAATCTGAGTAACGTTAGCGATTTTCAGATATTTTCGTTATATTTTCTGGAAGGCTTGAGTGGACGTGTGATATAACAACAGTAAATTTTAGCCCAACTAAAGTAGGAAGCTGTGATTGTTATCATGCAGGGGGGGGGGGGGGGTTCCGTATGGAGGGGGGCGCTCTGTATGGAGGGGGGGCGCTCTGTATGGAGGGGGGGGGCGCTCTGTATGGAGGGGGGGCGCTCTGTATGGAGGGGGGGGGCGCTCTGTATGGAGGGGGGGGCGCTCTGTATGGAGGGGGGGCGCTCTGTATGGAGAGGGGGGCGCTCTGTATGGAGGGGGGGCGCTCCGTATGGAGGGGGGGCGCTCTGTATGGAGGGGGGGCGCTCTGTATGGAGGGGGGGCGCTCCGTATGGAGGGGGGGCGCTCTGTATGGAGGGGGGCGCTCCGTATGGAGGGGGGCGCTCTGTATGGAGGGGGGGCGCTCCGTATGGAGGGGGTGGCGCTCTGTATGGAGGGGGGGCGCTCCGTATGGAGGGGGGCGCTCTGTATGGAGGGGGGGGCGCTCCGTATGGAGGGGGGGCGCTCTGTATGGAGGGGGGGTGCTCTGTACGGAAGGGGAGCGCTGTGTGGGGAGGGGGGGGGCGCTCTGTATGGAGGGGGCGCGCTCTGTATGGAGGGGGGGCGCTGTGTGTTGAGGGGGGGGTGCTGTGTGTGGAGGGGGGGCGCTTTGTATGGAGGTGGGGGCGCTCTGTATGGAGGGGGGGCGCTCTGTATTGAGGGGGTGGGGGTGGGGGGCGCTCTGTATTGAGGGGGGGGGGCAGCTGCACAGCTTATGAGGGACACTTTGCTAAGCTGTACGAGCAACCTATCTTGAGGTTATCTTGAGATGATTTCGGGGCTTTAGTGTCCCCGCGGCCCGGTCCTCGACCAGGCCTCCGCCCCCAGGAAGCAGCCCGTGACAGCTGACTAACACCCAGGTACCTATCCTAGCCCAATCTGCCCATTTTTTTTTTATTGTGTGTAACGTTTAACTTCTCTACTGGTTATGGTCTCACATGATTGTCAGGTTCCTTTCCCATCCTTTTCTGGTTCCTCTCCCACCCTTCCTTTCATCTCCACCCCCCTCTCTTTTCTGATCTTTATTTCCGTTTAGCATTTCCGCATTCTTGTGTTCCCTAATTTAGATTTTCTTTTTAGACGTTCGAGTAGTCAAAATTATATTAAAGTCTGGGGAACCTGTTGGGTGGAGAGAGGCAAGGAAGGTGGGACCCATGAGCTATAGGTTACCTTGAGGTGCTTCCGGGGCTTAGCGTCCCCGCGGCCCGGTCGTCGTCTCGTTGGGGTGGAGAGAGGCGAGGAAGGTGGGACCATACCTTGAGGTTACCTTGAGGTGCTTCCGGGGCTTAGCGTCCCCGCGGCCCGGTCGTCGACCAGGCCTCCTGGTTGCTGGACTGATCAACCAGGCTGCTGGACGCGGCTGCTCGCAGCCTGACGTATGCGTCACAGCCTGGTTGACCTGGTTGACCATGAGCTATATCTCAACAATTAATGCAGCTATGTCCACATATTCACTTGGACTGGTATGTATAGCGACGGCTTTTCTTCTTGCTGGGTCGGTGTTCGATCCCTTATGGTTCAAGTGGTTGGGCATGGTAACTTTACTCACTCCTTGTCTCGTAGCAAGTTTTCCTCGTATCCCAGCACTTCGTCTGTCACGTATCCCAGCACTTCGTCTGTCACGTATCCCAGCACTTCGTCTGTCACGTATCCCAGCACTTCGTCTGTCACGTATCCCAGCACTTCGTCTGTCACGTATCCCAGCACTTCGTCTGTCACGTATCCCAGCACTTCGTCTGTCACGTATCCCAGCACTTCGTCTGTCACGTATCCCAGCACTTCGTCTGTCACGTATCCCAGCACTTCGTCTGTCACGTATCCCAGCACTTCGTCTGTCACGTATCCCAGCACTTCGTCTGTCACGTATCCCAGCACTTCGTCTGTCACGTATCCCAGCACTTCGTCTGTCACGTATCCCAGCACTTCGTCTGTCACGTATCCCAGCACTTCGTCTGTCACGTATCCCAGCACTTCGTCTGTCACGTATCCCAGCACTTCGTCTGTCACGTATCCCAGCACTTCGTCTGTCACGTATCCCAGCACTTCGTCTGTCACGTATCCCAGCACTTCGTCTGTCACGTATCCCAGGACTTCGTCTGTCACGTATCCCAGCACTTCGTCTGTCACGTATCCCTTCCAACGATATATAGTCATTCTGTCCAAAACATTTATCCTGATAATGGCAGTTCGGTTGGTTTATTGTTTAATGTATAATTGATGAGAGAATTTCATGTACGTTATTACATATATGATTACACAATTGCATAGCTGATATTTTTTTGTAATAATCAAAAGGATTTGTGTTTTTAATTTTGTAGTCCAGCAGTGTTGATTGTTGACTGTTCGTCACAACACGTCCACTCAACTAATTGGCAACGTGTTATTTACGTTATCGTTACCTTGAGGTGCTTTCGGGGCTTACCGTCCCCGCGGCCCGGTCGTCGACCAGGCCTCCTGGTTGCTGGACTGATCAACCAGGCTGTTGGACGCGGCTGCTCGCAGCCTGACGTATGACGTATATCGTAACTTAGGTTATGACTACAACTTATTAAGAAACGTAATGACTGACAAATGTGAAAGTTTAATATGCACGGGACTCGATAGGTTAAGTAAGTTGCTGGAGTCCGTACGTTTCTGGCAAGGGTAAAGACGTTGGATTTTTTACGGAGTGGCAAATGAAGAGAAATGAGCTGGTTTAACGGGATAATTTAGAAGTTTTTTTTGTTTATCATAAGTTCTTTAATTCACCCTCTGTGATTTATATACAATATATATTTATATATATGTGTTATTTTGTTCAGATTGAACTTGATATCATTACACTATTATTACTAGATATATATATATATAAACTTTAAATAATTACTTGATAATAT